ATAAATAATATTCACTTGTGCTTTCTCTCTTTCTCTTGTGATGTTTTGGCTGTACAATAGCAGAAAAAACTATCGAAATTTAAAAACATATATCTTATGTTTATTGTTATATTGTTTGGAAAATCAAATAAATAAATCTGGATTCAAAAGAGAATTAAAGTATCACAAAATAGTATGATTTTTAATCTTCCAATCTATGACAAAAATTTTTGGTCATGACTACCGTCTAAAATTAACTGCAAGAAACAAAAAAAAAACGAGTAAAATATAGAAAGATTTTGGATTACTTTGAATATTTTGCTACAATTTTTAGTAAATAATTTTTAAACAATTATAAGTGAATCTAAATCGAGTTTTGCATAAATGTTTATTACGGTTTTATCAACACATGTGAAAATTTTTATGTCGCTAGCAATGTTTTTTTCTTGTCAAATTTATCAACAATTGCTATAATACGCAACTTTCTATAAGAATCAATACAAAAATTTTAAACAAATTTCCAAACCGTTAAGAGAATTGTGCTCAGGTTTTGCATATTAGATACTCGGAAGAAATAGTAGAAAAATCTACGAAATTCTCATGCTTTTGTCAATGTTTTATGATACATATATCCTTTTAGTTGAAGGATTGTTCGAAGACTGCAATATAAAGAAAGCTCTGTAGTTTTGGCATGATTTATGACATGCAGTTTGAGTACAATACGATTTAACCATTGACTTAGGCCCTGCGCACAATAGAGAAAATATTAGGAATAGGAATAAAATATTAAATATCAGGAGAAGCAATTTGGAATTATTTTACTTCAAACAACGGAACGGAATGGATTAACGCATAATGAAATAAAAAAATAAAAATTAGAAATAATTAATCCATTCCGTTTCCTTGTTTGAAGTAAAATAATTCCAAATTGCTTCTCCTGATATTTAATATTTTATTCCTATTCCTAATATTTTCTCTATTGTGCGCAGGGCCTTATAAGAGTAAAACTCATATTTCATTTTGCTTTTTTTTTCTTTCGAAAATGTGCACAGAATTTCTCTTCACTATAAAGTAGGGACTAAAATAATGACAAGGTAAAAGTATATAATAAAAAAAATGTATTGCTAGATAAGAATGTATAGATGGTCTGATGGTCAATGTATACGAAAGGTCTAAAAAACTATTGTCTCGGGATTTTCACCAATAGCCATATTAATATATTTTTGGATATATTTTACTCGAAAAAATATTGTTCAAATAACGAATTTCTATGGCCGTTCTTGAAAAATGGATTTTATTGTTACTAAAAAAAAAAAAATATATCCCAAATAAATTTTTCCTTGTGATTCATTGTATCGGTTATTCATACAGTTGTTCATAATATTGCCTTCATTGTTAACAGAAAATCTGTACATTTTCGACGGAAAGCGAGTAAAACGAAATAAATCGTACTTTTATAATATAATAGAAAACAGATATCACGAATGAGATAAAAATAAATCATAAGATATATGATTACTATTATTTTTATAACGCCTGTTGTGTTTACTAATAGTGTAATTATGTTGAAAATTATGTAACGCTGGAATGTAAAATCACAAAACTGTGCTACAAATCACAAAATAAAAATTAATTTAAATAAACTAGTAAAGTTCTTTTTCGAAAAAGCAGAGCTCTCATTGGATATCGCCCATCGCACATCGCTCATCGCGTCCAATCAAGTCCAGTGTCCAGGGGCCTCTGGTGGCTCAGGGAGTAGCGCGCCTGACTCACATCCCAGAGAACTCGGGTTCGATTCCCGACTCCGACCCTGGCCTGCGCTTTCCTATTTTTCCTTTCCTACCACCTCCCTAACACCAATTCCTTCCTTCCCCCAAGAGGAACCTTCATATTTACGACATTATTCTATCTACGACATTATTCTATCTTTAAAACCAGTTTATGGCCGTATAGCGAGTACTCGCTGGAGCCAATCCCAAACCCAAGCAAGCAAGTCCAGTGTCCAGTGTGCAAGTGCGAGGGCCATCAGTCAGTCGTCAGTTCGTCGGTCGTCAGTTGTCGGTAGCGACAACAACCGGTATTGCGTAGTGGACACTTGGGGTGCGTTCCACTTAACATTCGCAACGCTCACGTTGCCTTTTAAGCCCGTTCTACATTGATCGCATGTCGCCAGTCGCAAGCAAATCGACCAATCCTCATATTTACGACATTATTCTATCTTTAAAACCAGTTTATGGCCGTATAGCGGGTACTCGCTGGAGCCAATCCCAAACCCAAGCAAGCAAGCAAAGTAAGTCCAGTGTCCAGTATGCAAGTGCGAGGGCCATCAGTCAGTCGTCAGTTGTCGGTAGCGACAACAACCGGTATTGCGTAGTGGACACTTGGGGTGCGTTCCACTTAACATTCGCAACGCTCGCGTTGCCTCTTAGACCGTTCCACCTAGCGCCCGCGAGCGTTTAGGATTCGCCATAGTGAGCAACTTCAGATTGTTCAAATGACGCTCACAACGCTCGCACTGAAGAGGTGGGTCGGCGTGAGCGTTTACCCACAATGCATTGTTTTGCGCGCTTCGTTGAATAGTAGAGTTAAGTTAGGTTAGGTTAAGATAATTATTGTTAATTATAAAACTGTGATTAACTGTGATTTTTACAAAACACGTTAAAATGAAGAGAATTTCTTTATACGAGAAAGATAATGATAAAATGTATGACGTAATGTTGTTGGAGGAAAGATAAAAGGATTTTCAATTATAACATAACTATAATGATTTAATAACAAATAATCTTATGAACTTTGTACTATATTTTTTTAAATATGTTCCTTTTTTTAGAGAAAGTTTATCGCCATGTTTGCCATGTTTATGTTTTTCGCCATGTTTGCAATACTCACAACGCTCATAAGCCGTTCCACTTGCCTACAACGCTCATGCTAGTGGAACGGACAATACGTTGCGAGCGTGAGCGTTGGCGTCTTTATGTGGAACGTACCATTGGTTGCAAGTTGTGTATCCGATCGCGAATAGAACCACGTGCACTGCACTTGACGCTTTTGGCAATTTCGAATTGACATTACGCACACTCCCGCTGTTCTTCCGTCTTTTTCTGGCTATTGGTCATCTTCAGAAGATCTTGGTACCTTACTGGTACCTTACAGTCGTAACTGGGAAACTGCGTGCGAGAAAGAACCCACGTACCCACCCCTATATCACAACTTCTCAACGAGAACAACGATGCCTAAAAAGAACAAGTCTATGAAGAAGAAGACGGCCGCCGCGACAACCGTCGACTTGTCCTTGTCCTCCTCGACAACCATCACCTCGGAATCGGAATCTTATATCGAGATGGTGCGTTACCTCGAGTTAGACAACTGTCAGCTGAAGCAGAAGGTGCAAAGCATGGAGGAGACCTTTACTCGGGAGATGTCTAATATGGAGGCCGTGTACAGCCTCGTACTCTGTAACAAGCGGAAGCTGCTCGACGAGGCGGACACGGAACGCATTGAGCTCGAGCTCGATATCAAACACCTGCAGAATGATAACGAAGATCTCAAGAGCAAGTAAGTGCGATATTGTATAGTATTTTTTCACATTATTTCTTTACTCGCGAAATGAGTAAGAAAATCAAATGGCATTAATAAGAATTATATTAATATTGACAGATATTGCGTTTGCGATATCTTGAGAATTGTATTTGTATACTTATAGGCACTAGAGAAGCTAGAGAGAAGCTAGAGAGTGTGAAATTTCTATACAGAAATGACTCTATGTAAGAATTTTCATTCCGTTTTGTGCTTAAGCATGAGTTGGGTCGCTTGTTGGATGCACAATAGATGAACACTGTTGTTTAATGAAAATATAAATGGACTGCAGTGTAGTTAAGCTCGGATTTCAATGCTATGGAACCTATGCTATGTAGTAAAAAATAACATAGATGTTAATACAAGAATTTTAAAGTATTAAAAATGATATTTTAATTTATTTTTATTTAATAAATATATATAATCTGTTCTGAAAGTTGAGGAGATATATTATGTAATTAGACTTATTAGACTTATTAGACTTATAGACGGGTGCGCATATCACTTGCTAAATTATAATGAATAACAATTGCCACTTTAGAATCATGCGCTGATGTAAAAGCTCGCAGAAATCTTAGCGAGCATTTTCAAAAATGCTGAGAATTAAAAGTAAAATATTTAGGATATAGTAAATGTATTTACATCGGAGATAGTTATTCTGTTAACGGAAATAAATGATATATGTTTGTGATTTAATGCTATTGTATGACTAACATTTTTATTTAATGTATGTTCTCTAGATTGGAGGAGAAGGAAAAGGACTTGGGGATAGCAGAGCGAAATGTAAATGAAACACGCTATACAGATTTGTAATTGCAATTTGATCAATTGCTTGCAGAGAAAGATCGAGATTCGAAGAAGGAAATTGATCGATTAAAAGCACTGCTCGATGACGCTCAGAAACAACAGGAGGAGAAAACTCAGATGCTTCAAGAATTACACGATCAAAAT